GAAGATGAATGGGGCACAACAAGATGTGGGAAGTACGCATATTACATAGTTGAACCCTTTTGAAAAATTGACAGTGGTGGCAATGGGATATTTTGAGACCTAAACAATCAGATGATATGTGCCAAGGAATGGATAACTAAGAAATGCAGTGTGCAAAGTATACGGAGTCAGAATTGGTTAAAGTCATCTATTTAATATCAACATGACGCCTCACAACACCACGTAATGGTTCTATTTACTAATTATCACATCAGCGGGTAAAAATTCTAGGCAAAAAGATGAAGGGAAAATCGGAAAAAGTGTAATTAAAAGTTTCAGTATGTACAAACTTGAAAAGCTTAATAAGATGTATGGTCATCAAGAAAGCATAAGATTTAGGATTGACCACTCAGGACACTGAAGAATTCACAATAGCCTTTTGAAAACGTAAATGAGTATTCAGGTGCTTAGTCGTTACAATGTGAGCAACTATGAGAAAACTAATGGTACTTTAAACAGTTATCTTCAGGCAGTTCAGCATGTCTACCTGATGCATTATACAAATAAAATGTTGACCAAGGGAACTACTGAGAAGTCTGCTACCCTGAAGTGAACACAGTAAATTATGATACTCCATCTCAGTTGCTTGGGTAAGTTCATTTTATCTCATAGATCTCCCAATATCCGTTTGCCAATGCTCTCGAATTTCCAGAAAGCTTTAACTACGTAATATAATATGCGTAGTTTTCACATCTTGCTTCATCCCTTTCAACTTCTGCATAGGCTGTTTTATGACCTCTCACTAGAGTGTGCTGATTTTTGTCTATTCTGATTCCTGACTAACTAACCTCCAACTAACACACCAGAATATGTTACATATTCAATATTACAGGTTACAAGCAGCTGGTGGAAAATTTACAAACTACAGTGCGTTTATGATTCAGCTGAAACGGTCATTAACGCTCTTCCAGAGTTATCCACTTATTTCAGTCATAACTACATCTTACCTCAAAAAGTCATGATTTTACATCTGAATACTCTGGTTCTAAGGCTTCTATATATAAAAACACATTTGTTTTCCGTGTGTTATATAAATGTTTATAAAACAGCCTATGAATTACGATTGTCACCATTTGAAATGATAATTATTACCAAGAGTGCATTTCAACTTCATTATCCATCTAAAATGTTTGTCATTTTCGTTAGGGATTAATGTAGTTTGAAGATAGTTGATCATAGAATTAAAAAAATTTGGACCATTGGATTCTGACCCAGTCGTTTAATAGCAATGTAGTGACTTCCGAGCCTGAAGGTCCTTGGTCCGATTCCTGGCAGGGTTGTGTCTGAGCACTGCTTGGAGTCCTATACTAGAATGAAACAGCTACTCAGTGCAACCAGTTTTTCATTGGTTCTCCAAATGATATTATTCCATGATGAATACCAACCTGAAGTCAATAAATAAAATCCCTCAAAAACTACGAATTAGATTCCTAGTCAAACATTCAGCTACTGTTTCAAAGAAAATGCAACTGCACGTTTTCTCTAACTGTTACACCAGAAAATCTATTGATAAATTTATGGATGAATTTCCGACAGTATATGTTCTACTTCATGTAACCAACAGATGCTCAATAACTCATGAATACACATTTATATATTTGGATTTTGTTTAACTGAATTTCGTTATTGGTGTATCCCATACAAAATCAAGCAAACTTTCATTGACATGAATATTTTGATTCAGGGAAATAAGTATCCAAACATGTCAAATAAAAAAACTATCTGAAACTTCTGCCAGCCACAGATTTTACATAATGGGCAAAACGAATCCCACAATCGACAGTGGTTAAGCTATTTTATATGAATAAGCCCTGAACTACCACATATAACACCGGAAAAGTCATGGACAGAAAGTTATTTAGCTCACATTATTCAGTGCATACGCGCATGACGAAGTATTCTGTCGTCAAAACAGCTAGTTGAAAGTGGCTAGTTTTCGGTATACAAATGCAGAAACTAGTCTTACATTTTGCATTGAATAGTGTACTTTCCTACAAGATATTAATAAATCCCTGAATAAATTAGTGGTTACGTGGAAGTTTCAAAACACTAATGGAACACCAGCTTCCCCATGCTTTTAGATATGCCACGCGTATGAACGTCAACAAGCGCTAAACATAGGTTCAAGTCTTTCTGTTCACTCACTCTCAACGTCATCAATAATTATTCTTCAATGGATCACTGGAAACTGGAGAAGGTGAAGACTTATCTCCCTTAACGTAAGCAGATGGTTCTATAATTTCTAAAGTCACAGAACATAATAAAGGGTTTCACGAAACGTAATCGTATACAGTTGTAGTCGAATTAGTCTATGCTTAGACTAGAAGGTAACTTTTCTGTATCCCCTGTTTTGTCGAATACAAGCCATGTCACATGCTTATAAAGATTATTAAACTACTTACAAATTTTTACATAGCATTACAGTCTATCTACAATTTTACCTCTCATTTATGTTGGTACATGAATGTCATTCAGGATGATAAAAAGTTACAGGGATTAACATTAGTGTAGTGGGCGTTGCTGATAAGAATGGATATAAGTAGTATATGTTGAGAGGGTGGCAGAAATCATAGGGAATCACCAGCGATGAGTAAGGATTCCGCCAAGAGAAACACGCGAGACAGGGCAAGCGTATGAAGAGCAAATCAAGAAAGAAGCAGAAAATGAAATGAAGCCAATTTCGCAAATGACGGTTTTAGTGCAAGGTGTACCATATTTAACGACCATTGTCCCACTTCTTAACAATTAAAAAATTCCTTCCTGCACCCCTGTCTTTTGCATCTTCCATTCGGTGAAGTTGTTTCTGGTAGTGATGAGAATTCCATGGCCTACAGAGTTTGAGGGTGGAGACACTGAGGTCTTTCTCAGGGACTTCGAGTTGGCCGCGTAGCTGGTGGGTGTCCGCGATCCAGGAGCGAAGGTGGTGGTACTTGGCACGTTGCTGAGAGGTAGACCGAAAGCAGCGTATGATGGCGTGGAAAGTGGGAGGAGACTTAGCAGAGAATGTTTGAACGACTGGAAGCGGAGTTCGACAGCCCAGCGGGCAGGGAGCTAGAAATGCAGCAGTTCTGGAGCACGAAACTTGGAACAGACGAAGATCGGCTGTGAAGTTGTCTAAACTTCTTCGACGAGCACTTCCCATATGGGATGAGGAGTTGCTGGCTGCACAGTTTTTCAGCAAAAGTGTCCCGAATGCCACTGCCTAGCAGCTACGACTGGTCAACGCAACCCAACCTACGGATGTTAGTGAGATGGCCGAGGTGACCAGACAGCTGATGGGTACAGCTGTAGCTGCAGTGGAGTCATCAGAGGTAAATAACTGGAAGAAACAAATAAACGGCCTTCAGGAAGAGGTGGCTGCACTTTGAATGAACATTAACAGACAGGGTAAGTGCATGAGGATATTAGCGAAGAATTTAATTGCCCGGAAAGGCGAAACAGAAAACGTTTTGAACGGTATAATATGAGTTCTGTTTTCCCAAGTAGACTAGATATTGTAGGAGCCATAGATCAAGGTGCTCTGTATGCTAGAATGCGAACAAATGACCGGAAGATCATGTGTCTAGTAGATACGGGGGTGGCAGTTTTGCCAATAAGTAAGAGTCAGTCTCAGAACATAAGACCATGTGCACTAACGGTCCACACGGTTAGGGGATATGCACTAGAAATAGCACGCTTATCAGATTGTGTCGTCGAGACCGGAAATCGGAAAATTACATTTCCATTCATTGTGACCACGCGGCCATAAAGGCCAATCCAGGGTGCTGATTTTTGGAGAGAAGTGGGCACAGTTATTAGTACGAGAACAGGAATGGCGTCGACGAAGTACGGGTCGTTCACTATGCAAGAAAACAGTGAGGTAGGAGAGATTTAGTTATCAGACGTCCGCTATCGAATGGGACCGTAGTCGTTAAATATGGTACACCTTGCACTAAAACCGTCATTTGCGAAATTGGCTTCATTTCATTTTCTGCTTCTTTCTCTTGTGTTTCTCTTGGCGGAATCCTTACTCATCGCTGGTGATTCCCTATGATTTCTGCCACCCTCTCAACATATACTACTTATATCCATTCTTATCAGCAACGCCCACTACATTAGTACAAACAGAACAACATGCTTTACTTAATTTCGTGATTACGCCATATTAAGCTTGGCTGAACTAGATAAAAGTAGTTTAACTGCACCTGTATTTCGAAACGTGATTACTAAATGAACTGTGCTAACTGTTTATTACCGAAAATGGTTATACTCTTGCATTAGCAGTAATCATATCTTAGTTTTCTTCAATTTACCAACACGTGAATACTGCTTAATATACAGTTAATACTCTTTGGTGTCGTAGCATATGAATCTCCGTCATTGACTGGACCGAACTGATCGGTCATTATTGCTATATGGGTTCCTGCGCTGATCCCTCAGTACTGTTGGTATTTGCAAATCCGATATTTCCGATGTATAGAGGATAGCAGTGGAATCCAGGAAGCGCGTTTCATCCTATTTGAGACTCCTCAGGTGCGTGTACCTGCCTTTCAGTGTGCGGTGGTGTTCCCGCTAGGACTCAAACCCAGGATCAGTCGCTTCAAACCCCAAAGTGTTGTCAGCTGTGCCACTCCTTTTACGACAGGCACAATATAGTCTTTGATTTCATAGCTTGTGAATCTCCGTAGTTGATGATTAATACTAATGGCATTATTTTCTAACTTGTAATATATATTCTTCTCAATCTGTGAATGAATATCATGAATGAACGGCCGTTTATCTTTTTCGCTTTCATTGAAGATTTTCAGAAGCATATACCTTGTGTGATGTACTTTCAAATGGCACATTTACAGCTTGTGTAAGAGAATAGGCCAGGCTTAGCATTCAAGTATTTTGCACAAAACCAACACTTTTCTAGTATACAGTTAACTGAAAGCGAGGAAACAGATCAAGTGCACGTAAATCATAAAATAGATGCTTACAATAAGTTTACAAGAGTTTTCCAACGTTTTTGTTTTATTTATTGTCTTCCTTTTCATATTCACTATAATTTATGTTGCTAGGACGACTTTCAATGTTTCTAGCTTTCCCTGTGGCTATATATAGTGTTTTCTGTAAATTAGTTGAACCACATACTTTAAAGTCCCCACATTTTGTAGTTTTTCAGCGATAAACATAATCACATTTGCAAGTCGAACATCTTTCTGTTCAACTTCCATCATTGTAATTCTGAAAATAATATTCTATACATTCATTGACAGATACTCATGAAAACTTGAAATCATTTTGCGATGAAATCAGAAAAATGTTCAACTGTAATTTGTGCTTCCAGTAATAAGTAATTTATGGAATAGTTAAAGTACATACGCCGTAAGTAAACTTTCAGTTTGATACATCTCTTACTTGGCTAATACATGTCTGTCTTCAAGTAAGATGCAGTAATGGTCAAAAACGTGAGAGACTCTTGTCTTTGTACATTGACGGTGAAAAATGAAGTAAAATTTGCTCATTTTATTGAAACAGCAATCAGTCATAGCAGCGCAGCATTTTACAACAAAATGTTTCCATTCATTGGTCACATGAAGTAGATCGACGAGAAATGGAAAAACATTAGGATTTAAAAACTATGAGTAAAATGAAACAAAAAAATGATAAACATCAATACATCATAGGTTCAAAAGTTCTACAGCGATAAATGCGAATACATGTATATTCTGGAGAGAGATTCTGAGCGTCGAACTAGTGAATACTAAGATCATGATAGATACAGTCAGATCCATTTTCATTATCTGATCGATCGACTCTTCTCCTTCCCATTTATTAGTTTCAAGTGTTGAATCGGTTTACCAGTGGTCCTCTTAATTTGCTTAGTTGTGGCCAGCAGAGGAATCCAGGACGCGAGTTTCTTCCTATTTGGGACTTGTCAGCTGGATGCACTTGCACCTAGTGAGTGATGCTGTTCCCACCGAGACAGGACCTCATACCCACCGTTTCAAACGCCAAAACCCTATGCAGTAGGCCACTTAGGCACTAAGTGAATCACCATAATAAATATTCAGGCAATATCGAGACATTTGCATAGAACCCTATGTGCCAACAGAGGTGAGAAAATTCAATCGAGTAAAACAACGGAGAACTACAAGTATAGCAACAAATGGTCCCCTTAAGTGTTCACAATATTTTGAAACTATTTTTCATCTAATGAATGTCGTTTTTCATGTATTCTACTTATATTGGTTACTTTTTACAGTACTAAAGCAGAAAGGAATTCAACTACTACATCTCATAGATTTCTAGTTCTCCAAGATATTTCAAACGATAGTAGAAAAACTTTTCTACCATATGCAAACATGGATAAAAACTATTATGGCTGTCAACCATATCGGAAATATAAATGATATAGATTTTTAAAATCCCAATGAGGTAGAAGTGGTCTGAATTTATGTAGATCTTTATAATTCATGAGACTATACGTAGTCACCAGTTTATGCTAGTGAACAGTTCAGACAGGTCAACGTGCACAGAAGTGCATGGCTTAATCAGCCACGTTTCACTGCAGTATGCAGTCAAGTTTACAAAATAAGTAACATTAGGGTTAAAAATATGTATGTGGATAGACAAATAAACAGATAGAAATTAAAATTATATTTAAGACTTGAAAGATGATAAATAGTGTACACATCTCCGTAAACGAGATCGACTCTCTCCTGTATCGCCAAGAATCTCGTACTACCCCTTCTTATTATATCGACGATCTAAGTTAGGTAATATATACCTTCCTACACGGCTCAGACTAGTAGTCAGAGACTTCATAGGCTGGTGACATATCGTGGTGTGACGATCCTTATTCTTCGTCCACCCCACTTCTACTTTAACTAATATCACTTGCAGGGGGAGGCGATGAACTGACACTCACAGCACATCTCTAAACCATTCCAGTCTCTGAAAGTTAACAATTTCATCAACTGACAGGCTTCCCTTACCCATACCCGAACCCTACCTCACTACTGCTCAGAGAATGATTCCAACATACGCGGGCAACACTTCAACGAGGTTTATGATCAGAAATATATTCCCTCCATACTTTAAACTTTCAGAGACCATGTAACACAGCTGTTTACAGAAACGGATCGGACTGCAGTGGTTTATACTCGTTCATTAGTAAGCAGTCTGATTATGGTTGGCCCAAGAATAAAGTAACTGGGTGAAAACAATACTCATATTCATTATTACAGATATTCTTTTTTCCATCCAGTGAAATCACTATAGCAGTTACAGTTAGTGCTTTTGTGAATATGACTCATACAGAAAACAATTTGAAAGGCTTTCTCTTAACAGATCGAAAATCTAGTGTTCATACCACTTCTTACAATATATCTATTTTCGTTAAACTCTGTACCTAACGGATTCTACAAAGCTGTGGTCATAATATATCGAGCTAGATCAAATTTAGCTCTCATATAATGTATATCAATCAAAAACAGGCAAGTCGTAGCATTTAATGTTATTTCTATCCATGAGACTCAGTCACTTTTAAGATTTACATGTTTTAAAACCTTACAGAGAAATGATTTTCAAGAAAATCTGAAGTCTGAAAGAAATTAAATTTTTAATAAGCAATCAAACTGATTGTACAGTGTTAGGAACGGCATTAACGCCCTAGATTTTAAAATTTTCACAATTGTAACGATTGCATGTTGACATCTACTTGTTTATGTCACAAATAGTTGGATGAAGACATTGGTATTTAAAACCTAAGGGAGTAGCTTGTGAAGTACTTCTTTTGTTTCCAAATTCGTTCTGTAGTTAACAGCTTTGTTTTGAATTTCATTAGTTTTCGGATTGCTTTAGTCATGGAAGGAGAACAGAAAAGATAATATGATTAAGTTCAAGCATTCTAGTCACCCACTTCGTCACTTACTGATTTACCAAATATGTTACTAGGAGAAACTAAGAGTGTTTATATTGATCCACTACTCGGTGATACATATACATATTAGGAGTCAGTTGGTATGTAACATGTAACCTCGTTTCATCAGTTATTTTGGTCGATTATCCCACTGTTGTACCCACATAATACACAGAACTCATGTACCCTGTGATGCTACATTATTTTTAGCTTAGTAGGAATACCCTGAACATAATTTGGAATTTTGGTTAAAGATCAACAAACTAGTTATATCTTCTTTCATTACTCAGAATAGATGAAAACGGTCTAATAAAGTGATTTTATAAATAAAAAAGGAAACACTCAAAAAAAAAGAGGAGAAAGCATGATATTAAAAATGAATAAACAAAACACTTATTGTTGAACTTCCGTAACCTCTGTATGAATGGATTTCTGTACATTCACCTTAGTTTGAATAATGTTTATTACGATACTTGTTTTTCAATGAATTAATGACATAAAACACGAAAATATTCATAGTGCATGTAAGCGATAAAATTGTTTCCCTAACATAATATGTCATTAACAAAGATATTTTATGCCTAAAACAAGCTTATAAACTCGACCGAATGACTATAAATTATGTAAAATCTCAGAGGAGGGTGTATGACTTCAGTCTAACAAACACCAAACAATCAACGTGTAAATTATTAGGATAAAATTATCTCAAAGTAATCGGATTGGTTTTCGCTGAAGGTATCAATTTTAGGTAGTGTCAATAAAATTCTTCAAATATTTTTACTTGCCTATTCCTCTCCAAACTTTTTTCACATCTGAAAAGCAGACACCTGGTACAACACTGTTAACAACAAACATTAAGATAAAATTAAAAAGTGAGGATGATGGAAAATAAGTAGACTTAGTAGATTTTAGGAAGAAAATGGAACACAAAAGTCGCATAACAGTAAAAGCAAGGGGCTTCTATTCAAATGGTTAATATGCCAAAACAGATGGTGACCCCAAATAAATATCGTTTAATACAAAATCCTGAACCAGTCTTCCTATCCATTTCTCACATTTCACTTAAAAATGCCAAAAGCATCAAAACCTTTAGTACAATGTGCTCATTTCAATTCAGTAATAGTTTCTGACATCTTAAAATATCCACCTTCATATCGCAACACCAAATACACTGTACTTTGGATTAACATGATAATATGGCCGAGGATGATATTTCATGAATCACCATATCAGTTGGAAAAAAACAGGATACTACAGGTCAAAGGTGCAAAATAGCTGAATGAGTAATTGAACGTAGTATGACGACACTTTCCTTCAGTTAACTGAAGAGTGTACGAGACAAAAAACATGTAAATTTCTATCAGGCTAGGTACACAGAACGTTCATGGAAAATATTTCCTGTTGCTTTTGAGAGTACAGTAGAGCGAAGTAGAGTGTAGAACCATGAACAAATCAATCCTGCAAAATGTGGTTGACTACATCCATACAACTAATGAGGTATCATTTGACATTACTTACAAAGTTAAACCAAATTTGTCGAAATGTGCACGCGAAATTTTGTTATCACAGAAGCCTTGGGGAAATCAGAACTGTGAGGGCAGAAGTAGTTAGTGGGTTCACCTTCCACTATCTTCAACTTAGCCTATTGTTGATCATTTTGACATATTTAACACAACTAACTCTTCCCCGTTTTATTCTACTCTATTTAAATAATATATTTTGTTTTGTCATATATTGTCTCTACCTCTCTTCATCACTCTCTTAGCGCATTTTCCTGACCGATATTTCCATTTGTTGTTTCATGTAGTTTGCACATAACTACTGTGAAATGAGTGCTTTTAAAGGCCATCCTGACAATAGCTAAATTAACCAATCAGATTTCTCTATTTTATAAAAATCTGCCTTTCAATCCAAAATACAGAAATCTAATTGGCTATTTCGGTCTTTTCTGGGATGGCCTTTAAAGTCACTCCTGTGAAATAGCATCACATTAAATTCATTCACACATTCACCTGTCTTGTGTCTTTGATTTTTGGCCCCGTACATTTCCCAGTTGATTAGATGTGTCGTGAGAACTGTAACTCAGTGCATTTTCCTATATTTCATCATCCTTTCTAAATTTAAATGGGCAACTGATTAACAAGCATTTACTGGACACACTAGTTTGATTGATGCTAAAGAGGGTCCAGTAGCTACTATTTAATCCATTGCAAACAAAATATCGAGAACACTTCAGCCAGTTACAAAGTGACACCCAGTGAAACATTAGTTCATTATTCACGAATGGATCCGATTAAAACTTTTACAGTCACTAAGCTAACCATCCTAAAATCAGAATAAACCCTATTTAACTTTAGGCTCTGTAAGTGGAACAGCTATTATCAACCCTCTTAAACCAATGAACAATTAAATATATATTATTTTTCAATACTTTGAATTCCCGTTATTATACTGGGTGGAACTGACTGATCTCTGTTGGCGGATGGGCTCCTATGTGTATCCCTCAATATTATCTGGATATTAATTGTTCTAATTTACGTCCTACATTCCACTGCAAGCCACCATCACGAAAGAATAAGTTACATCACTTTAAGGACGGTGGTGTTATCGATTCAACAAATAATTTCAGAAGTACGTGTTATAACTAAAACAATTAACAGTAAAATCCAAGACTCATGTTTTGTCTTATTTAGGACTCGTAGGCCAGATATATTT